TCAGATACATATAGATTTATAGGTCTTTTGTATAATAAAAGATCTTCTACTGAAATCCTTTAAAACAGCAAAGCCCCCCCCCCAACATTTCCTTCTTCAGGGGTAAATGGAATGGCCAGGCTCCATCCTTGTACCAGCTGAGTTAACACATACCTGCTCTGTAACTGCTTGTCCCAACCCTATTCTTTGCCGGTTCTGCCAAATCACCTACCTTAGTCACTGATCCACGCTGTCCGTGACAGTGTCACTGTCAGAACTTGGATCCTCAGGCATCCCTGAGAATCACAATTCTGATTCTTGGGCTCAAGGATCCACCAACCACCCAGTTCCCTGTGGTGCAGTACAGGGAGGACCTTGTGCATCAGAGGGCCGACTAAAACCCAGGTTGTTCCCCAGCCCACCCGACCCCGACCCCCTGGTCCCAGGGTTCCTGATTCAGTGAGTCAAGAACTCCCAGTTCTATCCAATTGCCAGGTGCTGCTGCCACTGCTGGCGGGGGAGGGGGGGACCCACCTTGAGAACCACTAGTCTGGAGTCATTAGGTGCAGGGGTGGTGGGGCCGGGCTGCTGGGTTCCCAGCTCTGCTGCCTTCTAGCTGTGCCACTCTGGGCCACAGTTGGCCTCTCCCATAAAATCGGGATAATCATTGTCACCACCTCGTAGGTAACCCTGGGGGTTGAACGAGTTAAACACACGTAAACTATGTGCCCCGTGCATACCAAGTCCTCCATAAATTTGCTATTATCAGTATAGAGACAAAGCACTCTTTCCAGGTTTCAGTCTGGGCTTTTACACAGCCAGTGTGTGACCTCGAGGACATGGTCCCGTCTCAGTTTTCCCATCTGTGCTAAGAGATTAATGGTGACACACTTTACATTCCACACAGGAGGGTCTGAGGATCAGATGGAGTCCATGTGAGTCCACTCTGTAAGTGGTAAGCGCCACGCAAACACTCGCAGGTAGATGTTGTGGGAAGAACATGAACTTGAAGTCGGAGAAACCTGGCCTGAACTGACAGGTGAAGTAGGCAAGCCTCTGCCTCTTTGAACCTTTGCTTCTCTCCTCTAAAATAAGGGAAATAACAGTGCGGGTCTCTTGGGAGCAGGGAAATGTCCTGAGGACCCCTTGACTGAGAGCTGTGCCTCACTGAGTCCTAGGATCTAAGGATTTCATGTTAGGGTCAGCGCTGGTGCCTGGCCTTACCCAATACCCTCCCACAGATCTGCCATGAGGGGCAGCCTAATGTGAGACCCCTCTAGTGTGCAGCCTGGGCTACAGACCCAGGAGCCCCCAGCTCCCAGCGATTGATGAGGACCAAACAAGAGAAAGGGTGCTGTGTTGCCCAGAGCCCATGCCGGGCAGACCCCCAATGAACATCCCTCCTCTGGCAGAAGCCCTTTTGGGGACTCCCAGGCTGCCTCCAAACACCTTGCCCCTGGGAGCCATCAACTCTGGAAGTGAATGCCTTGCAGCCCTCAGAGGTTTTACAGCAATTTTATTCTCCAGGAGAGAGGTGGAAGAGCCCCTCCCTTCTCCAGGAGTGGAGGGAGGCAGCCAGAGGCCTGTTTAATTTAATTTAACGCACTGTGGCTTGCCAGGTTGCCCCTGGTAACGGCCTCAGCTGCTGCTTCAGTTACAACCAGAAGGATTTTTAAAGAGACAGCCCATTTTCGGACCAGGATTGCATAGCAGGGTGAACGGAGTCAGCTAGCTTCCATCACGGGGATAGAAGATGAAAGCTCAGGACAGAGGAGACCTCAAACTAGATCTGTTTATGCCATTAACTCCATTCCGAATCTGCAACCCCATAGGCTCTCCTGAAAATGTCACTCTTCGATGGAATTTGAGGAGGGACCACATTTAGGATTTGTCATAGAGTGTCACTCGACTAGTTACTTGTCTGAAAATCTGTTTTAACCTTCAAGTGGAAGGGAATGGGGAGTTAGCCCTGCAATTCAATACCAGGTGGTGGTATTGCCTGCATAGTGCAAACCATGACCAGGCCCTTGAATAACTCAAGGATATCAAGAGTGGTGGTGAAACCAATGGGTTTTAAGCCTGGACGCTAACTAGTGTGTGACCGTGGTTATGTTGCTTCACCTCTGTGGTTTCGGTATCCTCAGAGAGAAAAGAGTAATCAAGATAACAGTGCTGTGAACAATGCTTCGGGCTAGGATTATGAAGGCATGAATTAGGTGCCTTCTGTCAGGTACGAACTGTGGTTTGGGCACATATCTTACTTTCTTGTGGCCTTGAATGCCAAACGAGGAACCAGAGAGAGCCCTGAGGATACCACATCATTCTGCAATGCTGGGGAGAAAGGTGCTTGGGACCCCACAGGGGATCTGAGGCCCCAGCAGCACAGTGATGGGCTGGGGCAGGGTGGCAGACAGCAGGGTGAGCCAGGACCCCCTGGCCTCCAGAGCCTGAGACCTCGTTGCCACACAGGGAACTGAAATAGATCCCATGAACAGAGCAACCTCCTAGATGCCCCTAACCTGCTCAGCTCTAACCCACGCCAAAAGAAAAGGGGTCAAACATTTATGGAGCACGTATTCTGGGCTGGACACTGGCCTCGCAATGCCTGTGGGACCTATAGTATTATCCTCTTCTGCACACAAGGACACAGCATCTGAGAGGCAACTCATTTGTCCAGGGTCACCCACCTATGCGGCCAGGCCCGTTGGCCACCTGAGCCTCTGCTCTCGCTTGTGGCCAGACCTCCTTGTCAGAAGCCTGAACAAGGGAACAGATTCTGTTTCTTCCCACCATGATTCAGTTTGGCCAACCTCAAATTGGGCCTGGGGCCAGCTGTCATGAGACCATACTTTAGACAGCCAGGAAGCCCAGAGCACTTACACCTTCAGTCCTAGGCCAAAGGCTTAAGGCCTTTTGCTTTGGCAAATGTTTCCCCACTAAGCCCTCGAGGATCCCCTTTAACCCTTGGTGATTGCCGCTGTCCCCTCTGGACGGCCCTGTTCCTGGCCAAAGCCCCGTACACGCATTCCCACCTACGTGGCAGGATTACTCTCCTAGGTGATGTGGCTGTAAAGCATATTGGATCTTGGCCCTCCCCTTTCTCTGGCTCCCCACTGCTCTGCACATGAACTCCAGGTCCTGAGCCGGGCATTCGGGGTGCCTCCTGATGTGCCCCTGCTGGCTCGTCCTCCCGCCCCTTACAACACACCCCCCCCCTCACCTTCGAGCTTTCGCACACCACAGCCCCTCCATCTGATGGTGTCCGATTGGGTGGGTCCTACCTGTCCTGGGGAACCGTGCCCCGGCAAGCCCTCTGCGGGCTATGTGGGCACTCCTGCATCATGTAGGATTCTTCTGCTCGTAACCCCTGGTGTTCCTGCCACTCTGTGAGGTTGTCTGGCTTTCAGGCCACACCGGGAGCTCCTAACGGTGGGACCTGCCTTTCCTCTCCCGTCGGCATCACCCAGCCTGGGCCAAACAGAGAAGATACGTGGTGAATAGCGGCCAAGCAATGTGGTTAGTGGGGCCTCCTCTGGGTCATCTGGCTCGGGCCCTGGGTCAAGAGCCTTCCTCAATGGGCAGTCACACCACTCGGTGGAATCTGACTCACAGGACCCCCGTCTCCCTTCTCCCGCTAAGTTCATCCACAGCCTCCCCAGAGCAGCCGCAACATGGCTTGCCAAACTTTGCTCCCTCTGCCCCCCATTCACACACACCGTGCTCACCAGTCATGCCACATGTCTCCATGCTGAGCCCTCCATCTGAAATGCCCACTGCTACTCAGTACTCAGAGTACGGTCCGTCCTTCTGCAAGACCTTTTCAGAGACTTTCAGCTGAAAGTGGCCTCCTCATCCTGGTGCATTTGTCCACATCATTTTCATGGCCTTGCTCAAACTCTGCCTCATGCTAGGGTCATTGGCAACCTGGTATGTAAGGGGAGCATGGGCATTGGAGCCTAACAAAGGGAGTTCAAGGTCCAGCTCTGACACTCCTATGCTGTGTGACCTCGGGCAAGTCACTTGACTTCTGTGGGCCTCAATACATTCCTCTGTAAAAGGCAGATGCTACCTAGATGATGAGTTGTTGTGAGATTGAGAGGTTGGGGGTCAGAATCCTGGCACATTGCAGGCGCTCAGTCCAGCCCTATTATTTATGCCCAGGTCTGTTTTCCTAGCTCATTGTGAACTGGTTTCAGCCAGGGTGCAGGTCAATGCAGATGCTCAGAAATGTTTGCTGGACTGAATGCATTCCCTGCTGCTGGGAGTCCGGGGGTGGAGGGGTGCCGGGCTCCTGAGCCGAGGAGGCCATGGTGGATGGGGGGAGGCGAGTCCAGAATCCAGCCCGAGATCCACACTAGGAGACTAGTGTGGAGGGAGGGACCCAAGCCCGCAGCAGAGCTGCTGATATGCACTAGGGGTTTTATTGGTTTTCATTAAAATTCCTTCCCGAGGCAGCAGCAGCTACTCCCATAAATAACAGCATAAATATTTTATCTGGTGCCCAAGTCAGTCTAAATGCGTGGCAAGGTTGGCGAGAATAACAATGGGAAAACAGTTCAGGGCGGAGGTCCTGGGCGTCAGCTGAACTCCATCTACGAGCCCAAAGGGGGAAGCTGAGGGAAGGCACGAAAGGGGAGAAGCGAGTGGACGAGGTGGGGGATGGGGATGGAGTAAGAAGGTGACTGCCCTGGAATGGGGGGCTCCAGAGCACCAGTGGGGGAGTCCGGGAGAGGGAAGCTTAGCTTGGAAAGCAAGACGGAGGGGGAGAAATGTATCCCACTCCTGCTCTGGGATGGATACTGTGCTCAGGACATTCACACGGGTTGTCTTGTCAGACCCTCTGTAGTCAGAGGAGGGAAGTGATTGGCCCGAGGTCACTCAGCCACCAGTGGCAGACCCAGGACCACGATCAAAGGTGTCATCTCCTGTTTTCAGGGTTCAGGGCAAGTGTGGGACCCTATGAACGATAGTGGCCTGAGTACCTCAATAACAGCACCCCGGGCCATTCTCTGCTTTCCTAGATCCCAGCGGAGGAGAAAAGGGGCTGGTACTTCACCATGGCCACGCTCTTCATCAGGTCAGGCTGGGGAGCAGGGGACTGGATGGTGGGGGTGGGGGGGCATGGCCTGGAACCTGGGGAAGAGGGGGCTGCGCCCATTTCTGTGGCAGTGGTTCCCCAGTTCCCCTTCCTGCCACTGGCCTGGGGAGTGCTCGCAGCACCCCAGGGACAGCTGGCGGGGGGCGGGGGGGCAGCCACCCACATCCCTTCTTCGCCATAGGCTAGATGGCGTCTTCCTGGAGCTGGGCAGCGAGGAACAGAAGAGGCTGCCTGCCTTCAACCGCACGCTGGCCCTGCTCCGGCAAGTGCTCAAGTCCTCGGACCCCCACCATCAAGGTAGGGCCCACAGGGACAGGTGTGAGAGCAGCCTCTGCCTGGCTCTCCCTTTACTTGTCACTAGCCCTGCCTGTTGCCATCACTGTCCCCACTTCTAGCATCATCTGCTTTTGGGATCCTGTTTCCCTTTCTCTCTCCCCTCCATCCCATATACTTGATCATTCATCTCACAGAACTCATGTACCTTGCACCTTGCTCGAGGATTTCATGCCCCAGACGCTCCCTTCATCTTCCTCGGGGCTGACACCTTGTGTGGAGCTGAACCCCTCCCTCATCCTGGGCCCCCTCCCTGTCCCCACCCTGCTGCTTCCTAGACACCCCTCTCCCACACTTCACCCCCAGCTCTGGCCTGGTGCTACCTTGGGATGTTGCTGGAGAGGAAGGACACCTTCTCCACCACCCCCATGGGCGTCCACGACTGCGGGTACTCGGGAACCGACCCCCTGGACTGCTTTGGCAAGGTACGGCCCCCTGGCCACACCCACTCTCCAAACTGGAATGGACCCTGACCCCCCCCGCCCCGACGGACTCCTCTCCTGGAATCCACTGCTTCTCTGGGGGTGCTGTCCCATCTCCATTCCCCACTTTGTGGCCCACCCAGGAAGTGCCTCTCCTCGTGCAAAACAAAAGTGATCTTTATCATCCTTCCTCTTTGCTTAAGCATCAGACCCTCCTCACACCCAGTCCCCAAGTCCACTTCTCCGGCCTTATCTTCTAAGCTATTCCCCACAGTCTCAGACATCCCCTCAGACTTCTCCCCGTCAGGCTGTGGTTCTCACTGTCCTTCCCCACACCCAGCGACATAGTGGAAAGAAGCTGGGGTCTTGTGCCAGCTCGGCCCATGGCCCATGTGACCCTAAGGCAAGTCACTTCCATCTCAGAGCCTCATGATGTGTTAATTATGTCATCTTTCTACCTTCTCAGTTATTGAGAGACTCAAAGGCGGTAGCAGGTAAAGCTGTTCACTGTTCACCATAAAGTGCTGCTCAAGCCTTGTTCCTGGGCACCTTGTTTACATGGGCGTGTCCACACTTAGTTCAGTTTTGAAGTCTTTCCTGGTGGCCCGAGACCCTGAGATAGTACTCATTGACCTGTGCACTAGCACAGTGCCCTGCCTGGGGCACATCCCTAATGTTTGCTGGTAGGCGGGTTAATGAGCAAGTCCTTGACTGATCTTAGAACAGCACATAAATGCTGGTTCATGAGGATTCTGCGACTTGTATCAGACTTAACACACTGCCTTCACCCCTCCATGAGGACCTACTCTGTGCCCGGGCACAGTGATGAAGTCCCTGCAGGGTCCGCTATCTTAGAGATAGCAACCCACACGGGACAGGCAGTGGTCAGTAACAATGGGGGGGTTGGAGGAGGTAGGTGCTGTGGCCCAGAAGGAACGCTGCACTGTGTCCGTATGGGGGAGGTAGAGGCTGATTCTGGCACCTCCTCCCATTTGCCCTGGTAAATTGGAGAGCTTGGGCTGGATGTGTCTGAGGAAGAGAGGTTCACTGAGGGTATGGAGGGATTCACCAGGCAGGACACAGGAACGTGGTGGGGGGGCATGAGAGTCTGACTCTTGGGAGTTGGGTGCCAGGAGGTCAATCATACCCTAAAGTGTTAGGTTCCATATGACCAAATTTACTGGCAGGTGGATTTAGGGAATAAGAGCATTGAAGTGATGTGGCTCTGCGCAGAGATGGGGTTCCAGTGTGTCAGGCAAATAACCAGACAAGTAGTTTGCTCTTACCCTTCTCCCCTTCCTAGGCCATTGAGCTAGCCAAGGACCAGCCCCCGATCCTGAACCGCCTGGCCAAAATCTTCCACTTCCTAGGCAAGCAGGATATGGCCATTGGAACGTGCAACATGGCTCTCGATGTCCTACGGGATCCCGAGCTCAACTGGCAGGCATACTGCACAAGGGCCAAGGTGAGTCAGCCTGCAAGCTTCACCTCAGCCTCTGCCATCAGGAATCAGAGGCAGGGCCAGGGGTTAAGACTGTGTGGACAGAGCCCTAGGGTCACAGAGCCCTCATGGTAGAGAGAAGCTGAAGAATCCTCAAGACACAGGTTTGGGTCTGTAAGGTCGTTGAGTGACAGAATGAAGGAGGACTCCTATCCACTGCAGGCATCCCTCTACAATGACCTTGTCAATGACCTCCAGCCTCTTCTTGATTAGCACTCAGTATAGTCTGACTGAGCTGGGTTGAAATTTGGCCTGTCCACCCATCATGCTGGAACTGGGGACCAGCCACTTCTCTAAAACTCCATTCCCCAAACTGGAAGGTGTGGATAATGCCCTCTGCCTAGAACGCTTTTCTCCCTGATTGGCTTCCTTCCTCACCTCCTGGAGGTCTTGACAAAAAGGAAGCTTCTAGCACCATCTTACTGAAATTGTCAACCTCTTACCAACATTTGATGTCCTCTCTTCTTAGTTTACTGTTTCTTCTTAGCACTTACTACTCCCAGACATACTATTTACTTATCATGTATATTGTTTCTCCCTCGCACTAAAATACATGCCCTGTAGGGGGCAGGGAATTTTGTTATGTTGCTCTCTACTATCCTGGGTGCCTCGAACAGTACTTGGCACATAACAGGCTCTTGCTGGATATTTGTTGAATGAATGAATGAGAAATGAATGAATGAATGAACTGACCGCCTACCATATGCCAGATCTTGGCTAGAATATGTTCTCTCAACCATCCTGGGAAATCTCCAAGGGAAGATATTAGTGTACTAATTTTTCAGATGTGGGAAATAAGGCTCACAGAAGTTGAACAACTTTCTCCCCAGCTCACATGCTAATAAGGGGGAGGAGGGGCTGGAATTCAGCTCAGTCTAACCTGCTGCAAAGCCAGAGCTCCCTCCTCCCCCCCCTTATGGTGCTTTCTAGAACCAGAACACTAATACCTTCAGCAATGATGACCTCTTTTCCCCACTTCCTCCTCCTCATGCCTCCCCTTCAGAACCTCCAGATTTTTTTTAATGCTCCAAGGGGGGCGGGGAGGAAGTGGGGATGAAAGTAAGGGTCTGGACTCTTAACTTCATCCAACCCCCTTGTTGTACAGACAGGGAAACTAAGGCCCAGAAAGGGTGTGATTAGCACCCCTGGCACAGAACTAGGACGTAGGACTCTGGGCTCCCAGTCTCAGGGACCTTCTACCGAACCACTGAGCTCCCCTGAGTTGTTGCTGAGAAAAAGGGCAGAAAGGAGGGCAGAGGTCCTTGCTTAGAGCATCATTGCTGAGCCGACTCTCTGTGGGTAGATCCACCTCAGGGCCTACCTGCACGACCTGGAACGAGCCAAGTTGGGGCTCGGGGGCATGCCTGACCGGAACCACCTGGCCTGCGCCAAGGCCGACCTGGAGGAAGTGGTCAGGGTGTGCCCAGGCCTCAAGACCTACCTGGACATTGGCCAGGTAAGGCAGCCTCTTGACTCGAGTAGCCAATTGCTTACTAAAAACCTATGGGGACACCTGGGTGGCTCAGTCGGGTAGGTGTTGGACTTCAGCTCAGGTCATGATCTCATGGTCTGTGGGTTCGGCCCCGCGTGGGGCTCTGTGCTGACAGCTCGGAGCCTGGAGCCTGTTTCAGATTTCTGTGTCTCCCCCTCTCTCTCTCTGCCCCTCCCCTGCTCGCACTCTCTCTCTCAAAAATGAAAGATAAACATAATTTTAAAAAAAACACCACCACCACCACCTATTTGCTCTCTGCGAGGGCAGCCCTGAGCACTGAGGCCATGGGGAGAAACACAACTAACCCCCAGCCTGATAACCTACCCACCTCCTATAGTCATGGTGAGGATTATATGAGAAAATGCACACCCGGCATTTAGAACAAGACCAATCTCTTTCTAAAGCACTCAGGAAGTGCCGGCCATTGCTCTATCCGGAAATGCCTTCTGGGCACAACGAATGATTTCTAAGAGGTGACAGTATCATAATTTTACCTATGAGACAACTGAGGCCCAGAGATTGCCTTGCTCAAGATTATAGGACCAAGAGTTGTGGGCTGCATACAATACGAGTGTTTCCTCTCCTTTCCCAGGGGCGGGGCCTAAATTTGCCAAAGAATCATCGGAGTGAGGGTGGGAATGAACGGATGGAATTGTTTTTTAGGAAAGCAAGCAGGGGCACGGGATGAGCAGAGAGAAAGGCTCATCCTGGCCCCGGCCCCCACCCAGGTCTACTACTACATGGGCGTGGACGCCATGCAGGAGCTGCTGGCGGTGGACGAGGCGTCGCTGAACCAGGCGCTGGTCTTCCTGGCCTTGGCCGGCGAGTCGGAGCTGGGCGCCACGCTGCCCGAGCTGCAGCTGCTGCGCGGCAAGTGCCTGCGCATCAAGGGCGAGGACGCCAACGCGGCGGCCTGCTTCAAGCGCGCCGTGGAGCTGGACGACGCGGGCTCCAGCCACACCGAGGGCTTCCGCTGCCTGCTCGAGGCGCTGCTGTCGCAGTGGAGCCAGGCGCAGCTGAGCGACGCCGAGCTGGGCCGCGAGGTGGACGCGTGGCTGCGCCGCGCGCAGGACAAGTACCCCGCGGCGCGCCTGCGCCTGGAGCTGCAGCGCGTGTGGCGCGGCCACACGGGCGAGGTGCTGGGGCTGGCCCGGGCCTTGGTGGCGCAGGGCCGGCCGGCACTGGTGCGACTGCTCTTCGAGACCATGGAGCAGGACGGCGACGGCGCGGGCGTGCTGCGGGGCCGCGGCGCCTTCTCCCTCTAGGCGGCGTCGAGGCCCCGCCCCGCCGAGGGCCCACCTCCAGCTGATTGGGCCGGATCTGGGCGCTCAAAACGAGCCCGCCCTGCCATAGGCTGGCTGCTGAGCAGAGCCAACTAGATTCTCTTCCGGGAATTGGGGGCGTTGAGCAACCAGGGTGGTCCCCCCTACCTAGCCCCGCACAGAGGGCCGGTTATGGACCGCAGGGGAGGCAGGGGCAGACGCGAGAGGCCACCCGGAACTGCCTAATGAGGCACTGAATGGTGCAAATATGCAGAAAAAGCAAGATGCATGCAAGATACAGAAGGTAATGCCCTCCATTTTGGCGGCTATTAAGTCCCCGTGCACAATCCTTGAGGCCTGAGTTCCTATCTCTGGATTGCCGTGAGCCACGCTCTACCCTTGTAATAATGCCCCTTCACATACATTGACTGGGGTGGGTCTCAGGTCCTGCAGCCAGAAAAAACCGTGTTAGAGCAGAGGGCAGAGCTGCGCGGTGAGCAGACGAGGGGCAGATAAGAGCAAGTCTACACCTCTGACTGCCCGGGACTTTTTCCTACCTGCCTCGCAGTCTTCCAGCAGGCCTCATCCTTGGTGAGCTTGGTCCGAAAGGCCCCCAAACCCCTGAAATAGAGCCCAGCAAATGCAATCTTTGCTCGGCTTCCCTGTTCTTAGAACCTAGCGTCCCCGCCCGTCAGGAAGCGCCACCCTGCACCGAGTCTTGAACCTTCCACAAGAGAGTGAAAAAAGTCTTGGGATTTTACACTATTGGACTTGCAGTCATAGAATCTTAGATGCAGAATTGTATTGTCAAAGACGTAGGCTCTAATTGCCAGTAAATCTTAGAATGGCCATGCTGGATTCTTGTGGCCCCAAGTACAAGAGCCAGTTTCACCTGAAGTTCCAGACTCCACAAAGGCTCGTTATTCACAAAGGCAATGGCAAGACCCCATTATGGGGCCCCATAATGGTTTGTGATTTATTTTGCATTTTTTCTCCTTTCTTTAGAGTGAGCGATACTCATTGCTTTGTTCATATCCCTGATCCTCAAACTTTACCAGGGATAGGCCAGCCACCCCTGCACTGCTTCTCATGTTTTCAGTGACCGATGGAGGACTGACTGGGAAGTTCTGTCCTTAGAGATCACACATTCCAGTCCCGTGTGTAGACGGCAATACTGACAGCCCTGGGAGGGAGGTGGCTTGCCCAAAGTCACACCTCCTAGCCTCCCCCCCTGTACTTTAAACTTACTGGCAGCATGTTTCAGGTATGGGAAAATACCAATAAACTGATTCACACCAAAAGCATTATGTGTTTCTGTGTTAAGGGTTTATGTGTCACCTGTCACATGGGGCACTCTGATATCCATTAGGATAATGTTCTTTTTTTAAAGTTTATTTATTTTGCGAGAGAGACTATGTGCAAGTGAGGGAGGGGCAGAGAAAGAGGGAGAGAGAATCTCAGGCAGACGCCGAACCAGACACAGGGCTTGAACTTGCAAAGCATGAGATCATGACCTGAGCTGAAATCAAAAGTTGGATGCTTAACTGACTGAGCCACCTAGGCACCTTCCTCCATCGCCTTCTACTCCTGTCAAGACTTTTCCATAAACTTCCTTTCTGCTGATCTCATTCATAGCTAACTCTGTAAATGACTGACATACACACACTAGAGCTTCCTGCAGGGGTATCCGCCTACTGGCCAGAAGCCAAAAAGAGAAAGGACACCCCATTTCTGGGGTTTGCCTCCTAGGTGCAAGTTCATACATGCAACCCCATCGACTTCCTCGCGAGCCCTGAGGAGTAGGCACTATAATCCTCATTTTACAGATGAGGACACTCAGCCACTGAACAAGGTCACAGATAAAAATGGGAAGAGCCAGGATTGGGACCAGACCTGCCCTGTTGTGTGCCGCCTCCTGGGACAAAGCCCTCCCTGGAAGATGTGTCCTCGGTGGTCTAGAGCTGGCCCCTGTAATCATCAGCACATACTATCATTTTAGCCCTGCCTCCTCCCTGCCGGGTACTGGTCTCCCTGCCCAAACTGCCTTACCTCTGCGCCCTTGTATGTACTATTCCACTGCTGGCTTTTTTTCCCTGTGATTTCTATCCCAAGTCCTTGGCTCAAAGGTGCCTCCTCCAGGGAGTCTTGTCAAAGCCTCCCAGTTCTCATCAATCACTCTCTTTTATGCACAGATTGCTTTCAGGGTGTTGCGTCCCCCACTGCATTACCTTTATTCCTCTCTCCTTGGGTCCTAAGTATCTCAACATGTCTGTTGCTCCGTACTCAACTCTGGAAACTTTACATTAGTAACCACCTTGGATTCCACCCCATGGCCCTGCACGGAGCTTAGCACACATGATAGGCTCAGGTTAGTCGCCTACCTGAGGAAAGTCACAGCAGTGACATGGCTACCTCAGTCCCAAACAGGTGACTCTGTCACCAGGTCCATGAGGGCTGAGGTTAGGGCCAGGTTTGCAGCCCAAAGAACGTTGAGGCCTAGAGCTCAAGTAGAAAGCATGGGCTTTCTTGCCACCTCCTCGCCACCTTCTGTCAATTCCCCAATTCTGCGACTGGGAAACTGAGGCAAGAGAGCAGGACTTGACCATGGTCAAGCAACAAATTGATGACAGATACACACCCAAGCCCCACCTCCAGACTCACTGGCCAGCTCTCTCTGCCCTTTCAGAGCTAGCTGCCTCTTCTGCCAAGTTTATTTCTGGTAAGCCCAGGAAGACGATAGGCTCTCCATTCATTCACTCAACAAATACTTACCAAGCACTGGCCAAATGCCAAGCATAGTGCCAAGCTCTGGGGCTACAATGGAGACTAAAATAGACCCTGCCTTTGCCTTCAGGAAGCTCCCAGCCTAGGCCAGGCAGAGCAGGCTATGGAGCACCTTGTGGGCCACTGGGGACTTTGGAGGATCAATGGAAAGTTCTCGATGGTTTTAGCTGGCACTGCTGGCCCACCCCTCCCCCTCCACAGCAGTCATACTCATCCTGCATTAGTGGCCTTTCCCCGAGATGGCAGTCCCTGGGGCTTGGAGCCTGGCCCTTGGCTACGCCTGTTTGGTAAGTCACTGCTAAGGCCAGGTAAGGAAGTCCCCCAGGAGGAGTCTAGGGGGTGGGTGATCTTTATTTAATTACACCTTTGAGCCCTGCAGAATACCTCTGTCCACTCCGTGGCTGGGAGGACCACAGTCATAGAGCTGAAGCAGCAGGAGTTCCTTGAGGGAGCATTGCAGAGTAAAAGCCTTAACGACCCCATAATCGGAATAATGAAGATGAATCACACACCGTGCTGCCTGCCCACTCCTTCCTCTGGGTCTAGCAGCCAACATCAGGCAGCCAGAAACTCCCGTTCAGCCCATGTGAGCAAGGCATATTAAAGATTGTGACAACGGGTGAGACTTTTCAGCTATGGGTTCCTAGAATCTCGCTGTTGGAAAGAACATCAGCCGTCACCTCTTCCAGCCTCTCCTTCGAGATCAGAACTCCTCTCAACAGAGTGTTCTGAAAGCGGTGTCTGAACCACGTGCATGCCTCTGGTGGACAGGCGGCTGACTACCTTGAAGGAATCATTCCATTTTTCAGCAGAGTCCATCCTGCTGTTGAGTTGAAATCTTCTTTTCTGTATTACTATCAAGTTCACCATCAGAGGCCACACAGGTGAACTTGAACAAGCCACTTTCCCCTGGCCCCCATTCTCCCTATTGTGGCACCCATGACCGTGTTTGAGATGCTCAGAGGGTGAATGGCGACCCCGCCAGTGGACAGGCCGAGCCCTGACCCAGCCTCTGGCTGCTGGCACCCAGCCTCAAGCCTGCACCGAGTGGGTGCTCGCAGCTGAAAGCAGAACAGAACAAGACTCCTCCTCAGCCCTAATCAGGCCCCAAAGGAGCACCCTGTGCCGTGGATGGTGGCTGGATGCCAAATGAAGTGAAATATCTCTTTTTCTCAGGCGGTTAACTTTTTTTCCTGTTTAAGGAAGGGGAGGATAATGACATTAGCACTTTACAACTCAGCAGTAAAGTGAGCAGATGGAAACAGATCCCTGGCACTGCAGGCATGCTTCCAGGGAGAAACCCTCCCCACTCCAGCTCCAGCTGTGCTCCGTGGGGCCAAGTCACTGGCAAGCCTTGCTGGCCGAGTTAGTTAGCAGGCACCCTAATGGCCAGCTCCTTCCTGCCCCAGCACCTCCCCCACAGGCAGCCACCCCAGGCTGCACAGGGGCGAGTCTGCTGCCACCCCCCCATGTCCACTTCCCCGGAGCACCTTTCCTACCTCCCTAGGGTTGTGATGAGGAGGAGGATGTCCTCTGTGAGACAAAACTCCTGCGGAGATAGGGAAAGTCTCCACCTAAGTGGCCACAGAGGAACAATTTGATGGGAGGCTGGGGGTGGGCAGGGAAGTTCCCCCAGGAAGTCAAAGAAGGTCATTGTCAGCCTCATCACCATTGAAACTACTTATTGAGAACCTGCCATGGCCCAGTCGCTCTGGAGGACATCTCACACGCCTCCTCCCCATTTAATCCACGCAAACCCATCAGCAGGGTCGCCATTTTACAGATGAGGAAACTGAGGCTCCGAGAGGTTCGATAACTTTCCTGAGATCCTTCCGCATTACCTGGAATGACAGGTGAATGGCTTTTTAACTATTTGGGCCTCAGAGGACTTTCTCCTCTTTCACATATGTTGTTCTATAAACAGACCACTTACGGAATCTGAAGACATTTTTTCCGGTTTACGTTTCCAAAACAGTCAATAGCTCTGTGATGGGGCTGGTTCTCTTTTGGCGTGTAAATTGTTTCATTAAAGGGCAGCTCCTCTGTGGGTTTTATTTGTCAACCATGAAGGAAAAGAAACAGGAGCATCCCTACTGTGGTGGAGATAGAGCTATTGTTTCCTCTGCCCAGCACCCTGCCCTGCTGGGGACATCACACCTCTTCTTCCCGGGCTCCTTTCCCACTCTGAGCTGAGGCAGAGGGCTGCCAGTCATCATATC